CTTTATCTTTATTGCTTTTACTCTTAGTAATACCAAAGTGAAACCGTTTTCATTTGGTGAACAAGTGGCGGGACGGGAGGTTGCGACGACGCCGACGTCGGTCATGAAACAAAGAGTAGTGCACAGGGTGGGGCGGGCCCGGCGGGGGAGTCCTCGCCGCGTGAGCGATTGCGTCCCTAATTGGCAACGGCGTCCGCGAGAATCTTAAGGGGAGGACAGCGGAGCCCGAGCCAGTCTTCTCTCTGCATCTTGTGGCTCACAGCCTGCGTGGACTGCCGCCCGCCCCGCCGCACCCCGCCCCTCCGTCGCCCACGCAACACAATAACTTACCTCGGGCGCCAACTCTCACGTAATCTCGAGTAACTCCGGATTATACCCGTTAATCACTCGGAAATTAATTACAAGTTTGTGTATTAATTGTAGTACAATTACAAGAATTACGGGGTTAAGATTACACTGATTCTATTTGCATTCAGAAAGTTAATATACGAGTGTAATGATTGAACTCAATTCAGTATCCAGTTTAACCAAATTAACTTGAAGTTGAAGTTCCAAGTTTAAGTGGGAACACATCCTTTCTTTACATTACTTACAGTGATTTTATGAGGTTAATCTAAACTAAGCTAGCTAAGAATGTTAAGGATTATTTTTTCTTATCACTCATATAGGTGAGCAAAAGGTTCACATAAACCCTTAACTACTCGAAAATATACATTTATGTAGCGTAGGTGGATATAAAATCATACGTTAACTATGTAGAACTTTACTTCTACTTTAAACACAAAATATTAAAATCATTGTTTAAATTTACGACAGAATCGATAGATTTTAGAGCATGTTACTCGATGTGAACGTACTAAGCGATGTCTTTTATTTGAAATCTCGATTCAGAATATTTTCGCGTAGAGCAAACATTTTATGTGTTCGTCCCACGTCCACAAAACTGAACATTGCGGAGGGAAAACAGGTCGGTATCCTAACTCGATATCACCATTCCTATTCTCATGTCGCCTTTGTATGCAAGTGGACGGGTTAATTCGATTTGGTACGAAGACCGAGGGCAATATTTTATCGTATCATGTGATCTATTCTGTCCCAGTATAGTATAGTATAGTAGAGTGGGCCATAAAAAAGGCAATATCTCACAGTTGAGCTGAGCCGGAGCCGCGATCGTAACTTCTACAATGTTACTGCGCCACACTCGGCGAGGGAGCTGACTTTTATTTTTAGAAAAGAAATTATTGTTTTCTGGTAAATGTGAATATGTTAAAGTATGCGAATTTGTAGGCACATCTCTGTGTATTGTCAAGTCATTGAACTTTCCGTCTACGGAAATGGTTTTATGTACTAATACACAGAAGTTATATTTACTCATATAGATAACTCTTTTCTTCTATCTTTGTAATATACTGGCGCTACGAAGCAGAGAGGAATGTTAAATGAGTACAGAAAGAAAATTGATGTTGTAAGTAGTGACCAAATACAAATATTTTAACTGAATAATTGGTCCTGAAATATCAACCATATTCCACACACATAAGGGTTAAAGGCTTGAAGCGAACGTAATGCCTTCCCGCACAATTTTATTTAGCTTTACGTAAAAGTGTTTTCGTTTTACTGCCGCCATTACGCAAATTTACCCACATGTTTATTTGTAATATAAAATATATTGCTGTTGCATATTACACAGTAAACTCACATGTACGTACCTACATTACTCTTATTCCATTTTATTATATTCTCGAGGCGGACTTCAAGATTTTTAGATTCATGTAACAAAATGAAAGTTTCAAGTCTCAAGTGGCTGATATATGGAGGCGTGAAAGCGTCAGGAAGCCGTGTAACACGGTCGCGGGGCAGTATTCATTAATCTAAGCTGTAACCCTTGCCACGCGGGCGGGCGGGGGCGCGGCGCGCGGGGGGCGGTGGCGCAATATGCCGCGATGACGCGCCGACATCGCCTGCATTATGGATGTTGGCGAACTTTTCGCGTGACGCGAGAAAAATGAACCACGGCTCACTTAGAGATGGATTGCGATATAATATACTAGTGAATCTCAACTTACAGGATTTCTACGCGGCATAAGATTGCAGTTCGGAAATGTGTAGCGGAATTTATACAAACAATTTTTATTCAACATAAATTAGAACACCATATACCAAGCGTGACTTATATACCTACATTCCTAAATAATATATAACACTGCAAGCAATATGGAGTTGTAAGTTAAGGTCCTCCTTGTACTAAATGTAGTTAACAATTAACTTATAAGATTTATAAGAATATTTCTGAATCACTAGATTCCCAAATGCAAAGCAAAACATGCCTCTGATAAAGTCCTTAGCGCCCTTCAAGCAGTCTCACAGTTCTGTAATTAACAAGTGGAGTCTCGAGGGAAGAGGAGGGAGGAGTAGGTGGTAAGGTGGAGGCGCGGCGCCACGGATCATATCACCTGTGAATTAATCGCTCCGTGACGATTAATTAGAGCCACGTGCTCGCACGCACCTAAGCCTCGTAACACCACGTGACTCGCCTGCTAATTGTGTTTATTAACCTTGAATCGTTTATGGAATTTATGCAATGAAACTAGAATATTTAAGTGATAGTGTAGTTTAGTAGTCTTATGCGGTAATGTAGGCCGGATTATTTCAGCACACGAACAATAAAGAGAAGGCAAAGGAAGGTACGAGTCAACGAGAGCCTTAAAAAGTGAAAAGGTACTGAAATACTTGAACAATACAATGGGTAGGCCGCGCTCCGCCGCCCGCCCGGCTGCCTCCCAATAAAACATAACGTTCGCAATAACAATGAGCGGCCCTGCCTCATGCCTGACCCACGAACTGCAAACTCAAATTAAACATCTTATGAACAGAAACATCTTGCAAAGATCCTCTTCATTAGGTCCCGCAAATTGCGCGGGGTGCGGGTCGCGGGGGCAGTGACACGAGCCCCCCCTCGCCGCACCCCTCTCCGCAGCCTCTATTAATAATGCAAATGAGACCGCAGCTCGGCCAAGAAGCGAGTCTCGATTAATTCCGGTTCATTTGAGGTAATTGTCGCTGCGCGCGTGCGGTCTGTGGTCTGCTGAGCCCGCACCGCGGTGCCACATCTAATGTCAGTTAGGGTTATGCTTTCATAGGATCATCTTTCACCATCACTATGGCGGTGGTACCTTATTCCTTTACAGTTACACATACATATGCAGAAAGATTTAGTTAGCAACTTCCATAAAATAGTCAAGATTATTTTTATTTAAGTTCCATGTATATTTGACCTATATAAAATTCATCACAAAATTTATTATCTCTTCTGGTGTTTTCCTTAGAAAATTGGAGTTGACTCACTATGAAAGTAATTGTAGTATTAGATATTTTTATTTAGTCAAGACTATTTTCCACTGGAATGATTCTACAAATATGAATAGGGATCTAAGAAGTAAAGACAATTCAATTTACTTTAAGTTGCACAAGGTTGCACGCGACGCTAAATAAAAAGGAGTCCATTGCCTCACGTAGCACGGGCTACGGGCTACGGCGTAGCGCTACTACGATCGATACTTATGCCACGCGACAACCTAAAGCTACGAGTTTTTCTTCGGCTTTTTGGTATAGTTATCTCCAGTATATATAATAAACAATAATAATAATTGTCTGTTAAATTAGATAATTTCTACATACTTAATTCTGATTTAGGTTCCATTTCTAACATGAGTTTTGAAGACTAGTAATGTAGGAGTATTGAGGATAAATTTTAAATAAACGAAATTATCTAGTACATATTAATTTACTTACGGTTGTGGTTAATAAACATGAGAACTAAATAAGTACAACTTACTTAAAATGACTTGTAACTTACTAGAACAAACAGTTTGGCCACTACATGTTACGGCCGTATGGTCCAACATTTTCCCTTTTAGACAATTCACACTATTAAAAAAAATATTTAATTACATTTTATTTAACCATTCCCGAAATAAACAATCACAAATAGCTCAATAAACAGTAACCCTTGAGTTCGCAGTGTAGTTAAATTCAACGCATGTTTTGCACCCGCTGATTACTTTCTCTGCATCACCCAAGGGTCAGACTGGTAGAAAATGCCTGCGGCATTAAGTCCACCCATGTGCTTGTTTGTGTGCATAAAGCTTTTTAAATAAATAAATAAATAAAAACAAGTGTTAAAACAAAATAAACAATTAAAATCATAGAGCAATGACTTTCTCGTTTTAATAAAGGTAGAGTAGTGAAAATGTGCGGAGCAGTGTTCGGGAAGAGTTAGTGGAAGCTATAAATGTATTGTGAACGTAACGTAGGTATTGAGAGGGCAGGGAGCGTCTCCGAACCAGGGAGAGGGGAGGGAAGACAAAAATGGCCGCCCCAACCGTGCACCGTAATCTTACCTACTTATATCACTCATTAAATCATACGAACTGATTTGTCTAAAACAATTTATTTGTTGTAAAAGTTTAGTTTATAGTTGTTATTTACGCGTGGTTTCAACGGTTTCGTGGCATCTATTGATCGTAGCGTGATGCTCATAGCGTTCCTCGATAAATGCACTATCCAAAACAAAAATTATTTTTCGTATCCGACCAGTAGGTCCGGAAATTTCCGCGTTCAAACAAACATACTATATAGCTTTATATAATAGTAACAAGATTTTATGAGTAGGAGGTTTAAGACGCCTGCTTCTTATGCATGGTTCGAAACCTACCAACGGCAAGTACCAATGTGACTTTTTCCGAGTTATATGTGTTTTCTAAGATTATCTAGACACCACTGATAAACGGTGAAGGAAAGCATCGTGAGGAAACCTAGGCTTATAATTTCTAATTATAAGTTTGTAACCGCGATCACTTTACCTGGCTATCATCTAGGAAAAATATTTGTTTTAGGATTCCAAGTAACGTATTTAGATGTGGTGTTGTGGTGTTTTAAATAAAACACATGTAACAAATTATAAGGGCGTTCCAGTTTTCAAGTGAAACCTTCTTTTGCAGCCGGCCTCCCTTACAAAGTGTACGGTGGACACGAAGGCTCGTTGACGGAGAAGAGAAAACAACGGAGAATCAGAACGACATTCACATCAGCTCAGCTGAAGGAGCTGGAGCGAGCCTTCCAGGAAACACACTATCCTGACATCTACACCAGAGAGGAGATTGCTATGAAGATAGACCTCACTGAAGCGAGGGTACAGGTCAGTTCACTTGTTTTAGATTCGTAATTTTAGTATCACAAATAGAAGTTGTTTAAACTCCCTCATTATTAATTTCTAAATGAAGAAAATATCAGTACACGTTACAAGTTATCAAGTTTGCTCCATAAATGTAATAAACATGTGCCAAACATACAAATGTAAATGAAAGATATGTATTACTGGTACAATCTTTGGAAGCAATGCCTAAAAAGTAGTCTATTATTTTTTGAATTCAAACACATTGAATCACAATTAAGTGGATAAATGAAACTCGTATATGCCAAAAAACTTAATGTACAGATTAAATTATTCTTTGATTCAACATCGGTGAAACCAAAATGAAGAGTAAAAAATACGGATTTAGGGAGATTATTCTCACAAGGCACAATAGGTTTGAAAAAAATAAATGGTTTCCCGCGCCGTCCGTCACATTTCCGCAGTCCAATTAGCGTCCAGTAATTCGAGTGCGGCTGACGGGCGGTGCCTACGAAAAAAAAGCGAGCAGACATCGTGCGGTTAGCTCTAGTTAATTTCATAATAAGCGCTCATTTTTATGTGAGTCAGATCTGCGACGTGAGCTCCTCCTGAATGTTTAATGCAATTCAGAATCGGGCGAGTGCTGCGCCGTCTTATAGTTATCTGATCACGTATAACGCGCGGCGACTCCGCGACCTGCTCACGTATTCCGGGATATGACGCCCTCGGCGCAACCGACACTCTTATTGTTCCAACGACACAAACCTACATTTTGTTTCATTTATTTTTATGAAACAGGTTTTCATATTTTCAATTCAGTTCCCGTTATACAGACGACATGCGCCGTAGGTATGTTTCAGTACATAGGCATTGTATAATGGATAAACAATCGCGTTGTTGTATACATAAGCGGGAGGCACCCTCCCGCGGCAACGAGCGCTCATTACGTTAAAAAGTGTATTGGAATGGTGGGGTGCCGCCATAAATATTGCGGGCGGTCGCGTAACTCAAGCGCGCGCGACTCCTGATAATTAAAACTCGCCTGGAAAATACGAATTCACATATTACAATTAAAACCGGATAACTGCAACGAGCGGCTTGTTTTTCGGTAAATAAACAAATATCAATTTAATGCTGCATTGTATTTTATACCTGCCATTAAGCAGCCGCGTGTTTTAAATTTTAAATTAAGTAATCATTGATTTTGCGTAGGTATACCTGTGTGGTGCTGTGGTGCAGAGTGTGTTGCGAGTTTTACAAATATGAATAAGACCCCGCCATTTATATTTATTCATGTGACAAACCAAAATTTATATTTGTATTACAAGATAAGACACTACAAGATGCTTAAATTTTTGCCACTTTGCGTATTTACATAAACATAAAAAGCGCGGTCAGCGACAAATCTACATAAAAATATAAATGAATAAACGGTGCGACGTGTCCTAATTCAACACGCGGCTGCTACCCAAATTCATCAGAGGCTGTGCGCAAACACTGCTCGCCGGCGTAAGCGTTAAGCAAACGCACAATTTGCCATAAGCCACCCGTCCGGTGTGAAATAAAAAGTCGGCCAACTGTTCTGTTAGAGCAAAAGGAATCACTTGAAAAATGACCAGCTGCTTTTTAATACACAGCGTATTTTTTCTGTGCCAACGTTGTCATAGGGATAGGGCAATTTAATCCATCAAGCGGTGTTGCACGGTGGCATCCGAGTCAATAAATTCTATATTATCACAGACGATTTTGGTTTTATTGTTATCCCCGTGCGCCGCGAGAGATTAGTTCGAGTCGAGATAAGTCGATATCCATTGTGCCTTTGTTCCAACGAAACAACCTTCATTTTACTGTATTCGCTTAATCAATAAGCTTGATCATCAGTACATCAATGTATTTCTTTTAGTATTCAACTGTTAATCAGTCTCAAAACTTTGACATTTCAGCATCTTCTTGAACATCGCTTCTATTTACTTTTAATATTTGCTAACTTCAGTAAAAGCGTCAAGTATTTGATGTTTTTCGAAGCATGAAAATATAGTAGAAATTGTAACGTGATCAAATAAAAGCGACAGATAAGTCGCCATCGTAGCCTTTAGTCTATAATATTAGAGACATGTCTAACAAGAATTGTGAGTTAGAATGGAATAGTAAGCTGATTGTTATTACTAAGAGTGGTGGTCACCTGACACGTGACAGGGGCTCGCTGTGACCCGAGAGGCAGCAATAAAGATTGACACGGACCCCGCCGGGATCCGCCAACAAAATGTCAATCCAGCTCTCGATCTAAGATCTTGCGCCTGCAGTCCGCTGGGACCGGCTGGGCGGCTGAGCGGCCGGGACTGATGCACTGTCTGCCATTGCTCTCACTTGTAATTGGTTTTACGTCTTTTCTCCAAGAATCGTTTAATTTAAGATTTCTTGATTGTTTGATAGCCATGTCTATCATGAATTGATGATGAAACGATGAATTAACAAAGAGCAGCATTTGGTACATTTTGCTTTCATGTTTACAATACAAGGAAAAGATTTGATAAGTCTCATCGTTTCTACTGTAATCTGGTTCTGGATTTATAACAATATAGTAGTCAAACTGAAATCTATTAGCACGTCATTTTTAACAATAACAATTATAAAATAATAATATGACTATGTAATTAACTGGTAACATATCAAGTTTCACAAATCCGACCTTCTTATAATATTGCTTTTGGACCGATTTATTTGGAGCGAGGGCGTCTATAATCAGTAGTTGTTATTTTAACACAGATTCGCATGATGATCACTTTCGAGTGCTTTGTGACCCTGTGAGTGCGCAGGTGTCGCACGCGCACGTCACGTGACCGGCGCGTGCGCTCTCTCTCCCACCGTGTGCCCGATCAGATACACTTGCCACAAATGTTTGTCGCTCGCTGCATTTCAAATGGGGAATAAAACTGCCATTGTCTGCTTCAATTGAGTTTTATGGCGCGACAGAACCATAATAATATTGTTATTGGGTACGGAAGGAAAATTATATTCTAGTGTGGAATGTGCGCTTTTGTAGCAAGTATTAGCAAGTTTTCATGGGCGTAGTTTAATATTTTATTTAATTATTCCTTTGCATATAGGTATCAACACGAATAATCGTATGAAATTGGATTATAAAATGTCTATAGTAAATAATACAAAAAAAAGATGTAATCATTGATTTATAACCTATTTTATCTCGAAATTAACTTCTCAATATCACATATTAAGTGGTTAGTATCGAAATGAAACAACAACGTTAAGTAATGGGACGGTTTAGTGTTAACCCTTAGTTAATCGCGTTGATTGCCGTCGGTTCGGCTAACGATAAAAGCGGATTAAGTAATCACTTAGTGGCGGGACGCTCTTGTCTAGTGATTCGTGCTTTTGTCGGAAGGATACCACATAAACTTATGGGTTTTGATCCCATATCCCGATATAATACTTCTCTTAAGTGTTGTGTGGTTTTCAAATGTCAAGAATGGTAATTTTATTGGCTGGGACGGTGATTTTAAATGTTTAATTCATAGATAATGATTTTTCAAACCTTCTACGTGTATGAATATGCTGTTGGTCAGCAGCACTTATAGGCTGTTGATGTATTGATCATATTAATGAATCTAATTTAAAATAAATAGTAGCCATCTTCATAAAGGTTTGAATAACAAGTAACGAAGTGAATAAGAACATTATTTATAATGATACATAGGTAGACGTGCAGTACTTGTCACTTGTTCCATTATTACTCTCAAATTACACATGGCACAATTAATATATAGTACTATACAAATAAACACGCGTATCAGATTGTGATCATCAAAGGTATTATCTGTGTTAAACTGAACGTGGGGCGTGACATTTGATACGGTGTGACGAGGGCCAGGAGACAAGCTTGTCACTCTTCGTGGGAAGTTCGGAGGAGCTCGGGTGATTGCGCCCGCGCACCGTAGCGCACTACTCCCATAGTTGGGATCTGTCGATAATCTGCCTCGCCTAATTGATTAACATCTCTCGTGTGTTCTCACGATCTGCCAAACAATAAGTGTTATTCACACTTTTCGTTCTCTGATTGTGAATTAAGATAAATAGCTTTCTTGTTTATTCTAGGGAATATTAAAACAGGTCTCACCACTTTAGATTTATATATATAAACAATTCAATTCTCATCTGAAAGACTATAATTTTATGACTACATCCATAAAATATGACCCTTGATTAAATTGCCACCTTCTATCGCACGACAGTATTATTCGCACATAAAACACCATTCTTCTTCTTTAGCTATTCACGATAAATAAGTGTTGGAAATCCAAGCAAGCACTTAAAGCGATTAAAAACTGGCTCGAGGTCGTAATCATAGGTACGTAGAGCAGCTACGGAGGGTGTGCTACGGGCTACGAGCTACGCGCTACGAAACACGTCACAAGATATTACAATGATTTTGTTTGCAGAACAAAAGTAATTGTTTTGTATGTGAAATATTTTTCACTTAGTTACATTTTGGAACATTGAACTACGCTGCCGACCTTTACAATCTAGATATTGAACATTTTCCCAGTGACGACAAGTTTATTGTCATCGTTTTATTTCCATTCATTCGGTCTCATGTGGATAAGCATAAAACGTGGGCAACCACATCAGTTTATTACAGGACATCAAATAAATATGAAAACGTGTGAAAGTAATACTTTCCATGGTTCTCACATTAAACGTCCCGAAGGTATCGAAGTTTGCCCTCCAACAATTACAAAAGCGTTTATACCTAATTCAACTTTGAGCTAGCTCACAGAGTACGAATATAGTCATCCTTTTCTAACGTATGTGAATTCAGTATTGCTGTCCCTGTTGTAATCATGTCACCCCTTTGCTCGTTCTCGCAATTATTTTTCATTTAGCTTGCGACTTGTTGTGGTGTCCTTCGGGAATCGTGGGATCAAGTGCAACTATCTCTCAGGAGTATAGTAATACAATTCGAATATGAGAAAATTACTATGTGACATTAACGGATGTACAAAAAT